TATTCTACGTGGTGAGTGAGTGAAGTTAATACGCGACCCCTCTTTTATTCCTTAATATATATTATCTCAGCTACGGACTGACACGCAACAAGAAGTGTACATAAGCTAGGACTACCACTGGGCTAGAGGTATGTAAGTACTTACAATATTCAATCTGTTTAGCTATATGCTTAGTTAATTGTAGTATATTTTACCCATTTTGTCTCTGTGATGTATCACACTTATATAGTTTACATATAAGATTTCTTAAATTACTACGTGCAAATTCTTTTAACTGAAATGTTTCTTTTTTATCTACGACTGTGTATTTACTTGACTATAACAACACAAGCTTTATATAAAAAAACACGGTTTAAAACGCCGAAATAAAATGGTTAATAGATTTTATTAAATGGATACTTTTAAACAGCTGTGGTGGAGTGGGCGTTCCTTATGCTGGGTCCAAATTACAATAAATAAAGAGTTTATTTCACACTAGATCTGTCAGCGACTTCTTCCGCGAAAATCGTTATTTCGAGCATTCAAATTGGTTTTTGCAAACCCCTTCATCTTTATAAACTTAAGCTGTTACCCACGACGTCAGTCGCGTCCCTTCCCGTCGTTCTTGCAAGTTAATCTTAAAAGATAGACATCGCGGACTTTTTTTAGAACATTTAAAGGGGAATTTTTCAATTCAAACCGGTTAGTAGTTTCTGAGATTAGCGCGTCCAAACATACAAACAAACTCTTCAGCTTTATATATTAATATTGATTTTAATACACCGACAATATAAGTGTATACATTTTAAATAGTTATAAGATAGCTTTACAAGTAAATGTAATAAATCATTTATAGTAAAGCTAAGTAGGGTAAGATAGTTAGGTAATTTACAGTATAGCTATAGGGTATAGTTATCTATTGTGAGGTTATCCGTGGCATACCTAAAGAAAGAAAGCAAAGGAATAAAAGTATGCGCTCCACTTTATGAACAGTGAATTACCTCAACTAAATACTGTCTATAGTTTACGCGAGTAGTTCACATTTAAATAAAACACTTTCAACGGTTTAAAACGCGATATATTAGTTAAACTGATTTGAAAATGATTTATAACTTCGCCCGACGTTTCGGATGCTTTGCAGCAGCCGTGACCACGGCTTAACTAATATATCGCGTTTTAAACCGTTAAAGTGTTTTATTTAAATACCTCAACTATACAAGTTGCACTGTTGACCTATTTTGTCTCCGAATATCGAGTTAGTTTGTAATTCAGGAACCAACATAATATGTTCGCAAATGTTACACGAACGTAGTCTTTGTCTGAATTGACTAAGCCAAGTCTAATGTGCTTCTAGAATCTCTATATTACATGTGTCTCTATAATATGTGTAGTAGACCTATAGAAACCTCTCTTAACAATCAAGACAAAGCACCAGTGCCATGTAACTATAGTGCATCGATTGCAATTCCTCTCTTGTAGGAGAATAAATACTGTCACAACATATTTTGATATAGAGGAGGTGGTCATATTTCCGTACAGGAAATTGTAATATTACGTTAAGAGACGTGTACAGCACAGAAACAGTAAACCAATTGAATTATGTTACTTACGTTTCTATGGAACGATATTGAACAATTGAGTACATTATAGGTAAGCAATATGGTATTACTACTGGGTATAAGTCTTAGGAAATAAATATCACAAGATCTTAGATTAGGCTTTAACGATTCTGAATTAATAAAAATGCTGTTTGATGTTTGAGGAGACTTCGCGATGTTTTTTTATTAAACCTGTTAGTTTTTAAGCACGATAGAATTATTTAGATGAAACACTTTTAATGGTTTAAACGAACTATATAATTTAACCTGTAACTACGTGTAAAATATAGATGATTCAATATAGTTTTTCATTATAAACTTAAGAGTTCTAACAAACCTGAGTTTGGATTCTTGTTATTTATTAATGGAAATGGATGGAGGGCGAAAATACCTCAGCCGTACGTTAACAAAATGCACTGTCAACCTATTTTGGCCTTGGGCTTTCGAGTCTTATCGAATCTTATAGAATTCATATCTATATTAATATATAAAGCTGAAGTTTGTTTGTTGTTTTTGTTAAGATTAGTGCGTTTATAATCTTAGGGACTACGAGTCCGAATTGAAAAATTTTGTTTTGGTTAGAGCATTTATCGAGGAGATCTATAGGCGATAAAACGTCGCCCTGTAACGAATACAAGCGAAGATACAGCGAGATTTGTGAAAAAAATTGGGAAAATTATATATCACTTAGTAAGTGCCAATTTGCAGCAACACTCTCCTACTCACTCCTACTAACTCACTCCCACGCCCTCGCCCACTCCCACTTCTACTCCCAAAAAGCTAAAGAAGTAAGTTTCATTGGTCTCTTCAAAAACCACGAATTTCCATAAAAACTTTTATCCCCTTTTTCAACCCTTTTTTGGCATTAAAAAGCAGCCTATGTCGTTTCTCAGGCTCTAGAATCTGTGTACTAAATATCATTTAAATCAGTTCAGTAGTTTCAGAGTTAAACCGGAAGATAGAAGAGGTACTTTCGCATTTATAATATTAGTATAGATATAGATTATGAGTTTCTTAGGCGTACACTGCAAAAACGGTTAAAGAAACTCAAAAATTGAGTGAAAGAATGATTTCTCTTTAAATGATCTAACAGAAATCCGCAACGCTTATATGTCTATCCTAAGATAAGCTGAGACGGGAGGGATGCGACCGATGTGCGAGTAACTGTTTAAGTTTATAAAGATGAAGGGGTTTGCGAAAACAAATTTGGATTCCCAAAATAACGATTTTCGCGGACGAAGTCGCTGACACAGGTAGTCTTATAAATAGACTAACTGCATCTTATAAAATGTAATTAAAAACGTATTATAAAAACCAGTAATTAATGCTTTCTTAGACTAAGCACATTCTTATCAGCTAGACGAGTTAAAGCATAGACTAGACTTGAAAAATCTCTCAATGCATTCATATAAATGAGTCTGCAGTCTTGTAATTAAGGAGACGCTATCGAATGCCCGCGAGCTGTTTGAAGATTAATTATTATTTGACTCGTAGTCTGCGTTCATTAGAGGTCGGGCCCGTAATCCGCACAATAAAAAATGCTTTGTCCTGTCTCACTTAACGCCCTTAAACAGCTTATCAACCGCCTCTGTAGTTGAAGGGGTAAATGTTTTGTTATTATGACAGAGGAGCACAGACAAGTATCCTTGGTAAATGAAATAAAGTAGAGAAGATGCGCTGTCGTAATTTGCTTTTGGATCTTTGGTAATCTATAGATCCCGAAACCCGATTCAGGTTTACGGCCTTTTCATCAGACGGTGATGGAAAATCTTTACATAAATAATCGAACCCACGACCCGTTGGTTATTAGTCATACATATATATAATTAAAGAGCCTGTTTATCTTGTGCATTGTTGGGTTCGATTCCCGAGAAAACAATAGATAGTTTCGGCCGGACTGGGCACAGAAGTCTGAACAACTTAAAACTAAACTAAGAACTAATCAGTAAAACGGACACAGAAAAGTCTTCGTCCCAAATCCCATGAGGGGAAACGGGGCTTCACATTTAACTTTTACAAGTAGCTGAAACCGTATTTTATTTTGAGCATGCGATAAGAAATTTTAGTTGTAAGGGGATGAAAATGTCTTTGTTCTGGGTGCGAAGTGTTCGGAGAAGCGCACAGCGCTTCTAGTTAAATACATAATCAACTAGACAAACTGCATCTTAGTTCTTGTTGCTTTGCTAAGAGTCCATTGAATGGGATTTCAATATTAGCGCATTAAAAAACTAATAGGTACTATGTTAGTTCAGTCTCTTGAAGAGATTATCCAGTCAGTAATGCAAGTTTATCTAGATTATTTTATAAGGTATAAAAAGTATTATGGACATACAAGCATTAGTTCACTGAAAAAGGTGAAATGCTCGAGTCATATAACATCTAAGTTAAATGTATGTTTGTAAAACATGAAAAACGTGCTTGAATTATGTTTTTCCAAGTTTTTTTGTAATAACACTATTATAAGAGAAACCATCCAATGACAAAGCTTTCTAAGTATTAATTTAATATTTTAATGTTTAATACTAATACCTAACTAACTACATTAATACTTGTAATATGAACTTTATCTAGTAAGGAGAGCATAAATAAATACGACGGGCGGGACTTGAACCGGCAGCCACAGCGTTCCGTGCTGCTGCTATCTAACCAATTGACGTAACGTCACGTGCCGTCACGTTTTTTTAATATTATAATTCGCAAATATATTATGAATACATCATTTTTACGTAACTGTCGTAAAGCAAAATCTTGCATGTTCCCGTAATTACACACGGCGCGAAAACGCAGTTAAAGTCGGAGTCGTTGAATTGACCCCCTTATCAGATTGTGAGAAAGCCACGTGTATTTGGAAAAGTAGGCTAATAAATGACTGTGTAGCCCATTTTCCTGTAAACGGTTTCGCTTGAAATACATAAATCACTCCAAACTCCTACTAAGAGAACTGGGAAGTAATAAGCGCCTTAAAGGAAAAAGAAAAGAAAATATATTTTCTAATTCAATCGCTTTTCTTACAACGCGTTTATCGTCACCTAATTGTCGACAATTTGTTTTTAAATAAAATATTCTCAAGTATCGTCTGTAGTTACCCGAGTAGTACACATTTAAATATAACAATTGTGACTTGTATTAGTTAACTTATTTACATTTTATTTTATCTACGGCCCGACATTCACTCGTGACCACGGTAGCTTAAAAGTATCCTAAACGTGGGGTGGTAGTTAAAATAAAATGTAAGGTAACATTTATATTTAATATATGCTACTCCCGTAAAAGACTGACAATAATTTTTAAAAATACTTCGTTAACGCAAACAATACCAATATTTTTCTTTCATTAGGTTCTGAACACTTCCATAATCCTAGGATGGACAGCGTAATCCCGTTTACATTTTTACCAACAATTTAATGCGCGTAAAATTAAACTTCACTCACCGTCTGGCACGTAAACATTCAAATAGAGACAATCCTCCGAATACTCCTTCTTCCTCGGCTCCTCCATCTGCCCTTCTAGAAGCTTCGTGAATAATTCATCGTGTTTATTCAAAGGGTTCTGCACATCTTCCTTTTTGGGATCACTTTGCATGCAGTCCGGTGCAAACACCGTTGCGTTCCTCACCCCTTCCCACTGGGGAAGATCGGTGTACTCTGGTGGACTGAACCGTCGGAACTCCACTGGAGGCTGCGCGTATGGTATACCTAGGTATGCAGCAATACGTCTAGTCCGAAACCTGGTGATGTACATTCCAGCGATGGCCCCTTGATTTGCGAGGGTTATCTGCTTAGGTTCCCTCGCTGATAGAACGGTGGATAGCAAAGACAGAGCGATTAAAAACAGCATTTTGATTACGTCATAGCTTTGTTCAGACCGCACAGTTTGGAAGGTGGTGCGTTACTATTTCTCGTGCTGAGTTCGGCTCATAAACAGTGGGGTGGTTCGTCGTTATAGAAACCGAGGAATCGCTTTCGCGAGCTTAAAGTGGTTAGAAGTGGCATGGAGGTTTTAATTTGTAAATAATTAAGAACTTTTATTGGCTTCACCATACTCTATCTATTATTATTATAAATTTTTATTGTCTATCTTCTTCTGTTAATTTCGAATTGAAGTGTAATTTGTAGAACAATTTTACGAATAAATATGATAATGAAAAGGGGTTCCTTGATATATTTCACCTTCCAAAGAGAGAACTTAATGCTGGTCTGTCCTACTCTGTCAACAAAAGAGTAATTCTAAATAAGCTAATTAATTATTATCATAAAAATAATCAGTAATAGTGGATTTTAAAAGTACATAAAAAATCTATTTTAGATCGAAAAAAATTCAGGACACGGACAGGCCTTTGTACTTTAAATGTTCTGTCAGCATATTGTCCTAAGAAATTGTGCCATATAATGGGCTTCCGAGAAAATCCTTTCGAAAAACTGCCCTCTCACTATGCAAATAATTTCATAATACACCTCTTTGTCTACCGTGCCTTTGACAACATGCGAAAAGTCGTTCGTGTTCCTAGGAATTTCTTTGTTCAGAAAATGCATTAGGGGAATCTCTGTTATAAGGTCAAAAGGCTGTCTGATTTCTATCTTTACTTCGTTCAATAATTATTATCTATTCATACAAACGAGAGTTGCAAGTTTCCGGAGTCACATGACTTATATTATAGTTTGCGAGCTTAAGAACAAGCTTTGAAATGCATATTGGTATAACTTTGCACTGAATTTGTAAATAGTTAGAAACATTATAATTATACACTTTATAACTACATCCATGAATAAATAAATAAATCCATGGCGCAGGCAATTTGTCGGGCACTAAATAGCATTTTGTAAAAATATTCTTCGACTCGAATCGACTTCGAATTAACCATTTTTATGTAGTTATCCTGCTTGATACGAAGAACTATGAATATCGGTGTAGCTGATCATGGATTATAAGTATTCAAACATATCGCGTCTTATATTAGCATTTTATTCCTATATCTTGTAGTTTGTTTTCGTCATGTACTAACTAATATGTTTAATTCCTTATAAAATATTTATTAACTTAATGTTTCATTTATTTATAATATATCTTGTCTATAAATATCCATGGTCTCTTCTAGAAATATATGTCTTTGCATATAAACAGCAAGCTCGCGACTCAACGTGATCGCGTGACCAAAGTTAGGCATCGGGAGTCATTGCATTCCGTTTCAGTCTTATTCCCGTCTTCTCCCTTAAATGGGTCAACGCGACTCATTGATTCCTTTAAAAGGGCAAAGCCCTACTTCCATCATTGTTCTAAACTACAAATTAAATTAGTAATAATAGTTTAATATGCTTGAACCGAGCCAAGAAAAAAAATCGATATTCGCCATAAAATTACAAACAAAAGGTAAAAGTCATTAAATTGCCGAACTTTGCTTACCTATTTTCGGTTTCCCGCTTAAGACGCGTTTTTCGTAGCATACCTGAGAAATCGTCTTAAGCGGGTTTTACTGTATATTTGATAGGAATTCTACTAATACCGTTTTTATTGGTTTTTCATGACTTTTCATGGGCTCTTATGGTCTGCAATTGCGATTCGGCCTGTGGGGCATGGGGCGAACCCAATACTGAGTTTGTTGTATTGGTTGATTTTATTTACTAGAAACTAGTAGTTCAAGTTTTGGTGCTTTGTTCGAAACAATTTACTGTTACCCCAGAACCAATTACATTTTCAAGATTAAATCTGGGGGAATTCCTTACTCGAATATTTTTTAGGTAGATTTCAACTTAAGGAGTCTGTAGATAAAAATACTGTCTAAAGTTTACGCGAGTAGTACAAATTTAAATAATACACGGTAACGGTTTAAAACTATATTTTAAACTTATTTGGAAATGATTTTTAACTTCGGCCCGATGTTTCGGATGCTTTGCAGCAGCGAGGTCTCCCCTTGACCACGACTGCTACAAAACCGTTCAAGTGTTTTGTTTAAGTCTGTAGATAAATTTGATACTTTAATAAAAATAAAACAGAGGTTCATCTATCTTTGTTAACTCCACCTAAATTCTAATTATAAAGAGTTTTTAAATGTATAACGTGCTTCGTTTAAAGGTTGTAAGATTAAGGGACGATAAAGCGGCTTATAGCGCTGCAATATCAATACTTTGATACCTTGGCCATACTTTATCACTATTTTCAATATACTGATGTAAACAGAGATTTTCTCGTCTGCTTCAAAGAAATTTGTCTCTCGACTCTTGAAGTTTTCGTGTCTTTTAGTTCAAGAATTCATATGGTCTATGAGAACCCAAAAAGTTTATATAGCGTGTTTTGCCTTTTAACTCCTTTTTCTTTTGGTAATTGGTAACTATTTCAAAATGAAGCACTCTTAAATCGTTAGGCTTATGCTAGAAATATATTTTTATACTCGTTTGCCTGTCTGTGAATTCTCGAATGTCCAAATCAAAATGGGACGACAGCGCATACTAGCGATGTTACAGTGCACTTTCCATCGAGTGAACTCTATCCTTATCTATTTTCATCTATCACAAAATACCTAAACTATTTCTAGAATTGCATTACCTACCTTATAGAAAGTTCACTGCACACACTCGAATTTCACTACCTTTGTTCTAAAAGGTTTATTTTTATCGTATAAACTGACGCGACAAACCTTGCCGAACGATATCGCAGCCAGGCACATTTTCGCATTTATGTTTCCTATATTATACTCAGCATTAGATTTCGCCCGAGACCTCGACTCTATATATGTTTTAATTTGTTGCAAAACTTCCGAAACATAGAGCCGTAGTAAAAATAAGTTTTTTATTGGCGTTTAGTTATAAATATTTTTAAACCATATATGTGTTGTCTAGCTGTAAAAATAACAAATAAATAAATAATTTATACGATAAAAAATAATTTAACTTATATGTTTCGCGTTTTGAACTATTAAAAATGTTTTATTTCAATGTGTACTACTCGCGTCAACTACAGATAATTTTTTTCTTTTAACTTTACAATAGTTTCACACTGTCTATAGTTTACGCGAGTAGTACACATTTAAATAAAACACTTTCAACGGTTCTAAAACGCGATATATTAGTTAAACTTATTTGAAAATGATTTTTAACTTCGGCCCGACGTTTCGGATGCTTTGCAGCAGCCGTGGTCACGGGTCATGAGTCTCCCCGTGACCACGGCTGCCTGCAAAGCATCCGAAACGTCGGGCCGAAGTTAAAAATCATTTTCAAATAAGTTTATAATCGCGTTTAAACCGTTAAAGTGTTTTATTTAAATAGTTTCACAATAAAATATACATTCATAAAAAGCCTTTATTTCCATGCTAAAATAATTATAAAAAAAATGTATGTAATCGGTCTGTCACACATTTTAAAGATAAAAATAAAAGATTTGTTGTGATGAGATTTAGGCGTAGGCAAAGTGTTCACTAGCAATCGCTTCTATGTCACTGGCCCACCGTGCTGGCCTCCCAATAGTCTCCTGATCATGTACCTAACATTTGTGGCTTTGAACCATAAAAACCATTTGTCTAAGTGAGGTTGAATCCCTAGGAAACCATAGACTGTTTCGTTCGGGCAGGGCACAGAAGTCTGATCTACTACTGACTGTAAATAAAACCGATAGTGAAACGGACACAACAATGTGTGTGACTGGTTTACCCACGGGGTTTATGGGACTTTAGTTTAAAATATATAGTTTGGATCGTTATTTAAGCTCGAATCTAAAACATTTTAAAAATCAAAATATGGAAGGGAGTAATTTTCGAATTACTGCGACATAGTTACGTATAAGTACTGACACGCGCTTGTAATTTTTTTCGCGTGACTGCTAAGTTCACAAGTACGTGCTTAAGAAATTTCTAAGCCAACTCGATTTTCTTTACGAAATTCCGTCCATGAACAAACAGTGAAGCGTAAATTTGCTTCTCGGTTTCAAGTAGTTTATTTCTGAATGTGCAAGAACAAAGTAGGTCGGTTGCCCATCTTTTTTAGATGTAGTATGGGCTCTTGTGTCAAGTGAATCTTATTTTAGCCTATCCTTCTGTATTCTGAAAAATTTTAAAAGCACATATAAAATTACATTTCTTTTACATATAGCATTTTCTTATGTTAATCTAAATAAGAAGGATGAGATTATTTCTACTCGTAGCTAAAAGCTTAAAAAATTTAAAAAGGATATTTTATAATTGTGTGAATATGGAAAACATAAATTATTGGCATTTTTTTACTTAAACCCACTACGATGATAAAATACATTTCCTCGATAGCTTATATGTAGCAGGATGTGTCAGTAACCTTACCATATTTTCCTTAGGCAGGAATCATATTTATAAATAAGATTTGTAAGATGATAATCAAAAGAAACCTTATGGTAATTTAACGGCGGTTTCAGTAATTTTCAATTAAATCATTTTTTTAACAAGTATTATGAGTCAGAGAAGAACTGACAAGCTGGTCTAGTCGTAATAACAATTTTAAGATTTATAAAATAGTAATCTATCTCCTTATATTTCCTAAAGTTAGCATTTTACGTTTTTTAAAAATTACAGTTTTAATTTACGATGTAAACGCACATTTGTATTATTTTTGTTGTATCTATTGGTGATCAGCGATTTTTGTAACAGGAAATTAATATATAGTAATTATTTTAAATTTAAATAAAAATATAAAAAATCAAACACCAATAGATTACAGATCACCAGAGTTCTAATGACAACTCGAGACATTTTTAATTTTAGTCCGAATTGGAAAGTAGTAGGGGTCTAGTGTCCTAAAGACACCTCACCATTGAATCCTATCCTAGTAGGTAAACTCGCCTATGAAAAAGAGATTTGTGCCGAACTCTAGGACCTCAAT